GGGCAATCTCTTCCATAAAGATTTACTGCCTTGGAAACCCAAAGTGGTTCGCTGTAAGTTGGAATTGACTCGATGACAGTGAGTTTGGTTTTTTGATTTTTGTATATCTATACTGAGAAAAGAAACATAATTAAATTAAAATAATAATAATAATAAAAACCACCAAATCCCATGCTGAGAAGAATCTCTACATTAAGAGCCACAAATCAAAGCCTTAAAAAGTCTACAAATTCAGTACAATGGTAAATGAATGACATTTAAACAACAGTTACTAACATTTGTTGTTTTCATTGTTCAGTGCCATCAACTCATCTCCAACTCACAGCGCCTCTATGTACAACAGAACAAAGCACTGCCTGATCCTGCACCATCCTCACAATATTTGCTATGGTTAAGCCCTATTTGCAGCCATTGTGTCAAACCATCTCATTGAGGGTCTTCCCCTTTTAGCTGATCCTCTACTTTATCCTTTTCCAGGGAATGGTCCCTTCTAACCACATGACCAAAGTAGGTGAGATGGAGTCTGGCCATTCTTTCTTCCAAGGAATATTCCAGTTGTACTTCTACAGCAGATTTGTTCATTCCCCTGGAAGTCCATGGTATTTTCAGTATTCTTCATCAACACAACAATTCAAGTCTAAATTCTACTTTGGTCTTCCTTATTCATTGTCCAGCTATCACATGACTGTGAAATGACTGAAAACATCACGGCTTGGGTCACGCACACCTTAGTCTTCAAAGAGACACCTTTGCTTCTTAATACCTTAAAGGGGTTTTTTGAAGCAGATTTGCCGAGTGCAATACATCCAATATCCTGACAGCTGATTCCATGGGGGCTGGCTATAGATGTAGGTAAAATGAAATCCCTGACAATTTCAATCTTTTCTCCATTTATCATGATATTATTTATTGGCCCAGTTGCAAAGATTTTTGTTTTATGTCGAGATGAAATCCATATTGAAAACTGTAGTCTTTGATTTTCTTAAGTGCTTCAAGTCTTCTTCACATTCTGCAAGCAAGGTTGTGTCATCTTCATATGGCACGTTGTTCATGAGTGTTCTTCCAATCCTGATGCCTTGTTCTTCTTCATATAGGCCAGTTTCTCAGATTATCTGCTCAGCATATAGATTGAGTAAGTATGGTGAAAGGATACAACTTTGATGTACACCTTTCCTGATTTTAAATCATGCAGTATCTCCTTGTTCTGTATGAACAGCAGCTTCTTGGTCTATGTCCAGGTTCCTCATGAGCACAATTAAGTGTTCTGGAATTCCCATTCTTTGCAATGTCATCCATAATTTGTTATGATCCACACAGTCCAATACTTTTACATAGTCAATACATAGCCAATAAAACACAGGTAGACATCTTTCTGGTATTCTTCGGTTTCAGCTAAGATGTACCTGACATGAGCAATGGTATCCCTTGCTCTGCATCCTGTTCTGAATACAGCTTATATTTCTGGAATCCCTGTTAATACACTGTTGCAATATTTCTGGATTATTTTCAACAAGATTTAACTTGCATGTGATATTAATAATATTGTTCAATAATTTCCACATTCTGTTGGATCACCTTTCTTTGGAATGGGCACAAATATTGATCTCTTCCAGTCAGCTGGCCAGGCAGCTGTCTTCCAAATTTCTTGGCATAAACGAGGAAGCACCTAAAGCAACCCATCTGGTTGTTGCAACATCTCAATGGGTATTCTGTCAATTCCTGCAGCCTTGTATTTTAACAGTTCCTTCAGTGCAGCTTGGACTTCTTCCTTCAGTACCACTGGTTCTTGATTATATGCCATCTCCTGAAATAGATGAACATCAACCAAATCTTTTTGATATAGTGACCACATAGTTCTTCCTTTTGATGCTTCCTGCATCATTCAATATTTTGCCCATAGAATCCTTGCAACTCAAGGCTTGAACTTTCCCATCTGTTCTTTCAGCTTGAGAAATGCCAAGTGTATTCTTCCCTTTTGGTTTTCAATCTCCATGTCTTTGTACATTTCATTTAATACTTTGCTTTGTCTTCTCAAGCTTTGCAATCTTCTGTTCAGTTCTTTTATTTCAGCATTTCTTCCATTTGTTTTAGCTACTCCACACTCAAGAGCAAGTTTCAGAGTCTCTTCTGACAGTCATCTTGTTTTTTTCTTCCTTTCCTGTCTTTTAAATCACTGTTTGCTGACTGTGGAACAGACTATCGATTGCTCATATGCAAATTCAAGTTGAGGCAAAAGAAAATTAAAATAAGTCCACGAGAGCCAAAATATAACCTTGATTATATCCCACCTGAATTTAGAGACCACTGATGCACTTAATACCAATGACCAAAGACCAGATGAGATGTATGATGACATCAAGAACATTACACATGAAGACTAACATTTACAGAAAGCTTACTATAGGTTAACAGTATACTAATAGAATTATATGGGTTATCACACTAGATTCTCACAATACCCTGATATTGGCTTCATTTTATAAATGAGGAAACTAAGGCATAGAGAGGTTAAGTACCTTGTCCAAGGTCACATAGCTTGTAAGAGATGGGACTGAGATTTGAACTTGGGTCTAGGCTCTTAACTACAACTGTGCTGCTTCTCTAATAAAGAAGCCACTTTCCAGTCTTCTCCCACCTCCATGCTGCTATGCAAACATTTGAAATGCAGTAGACTATTCTAATGATATGGGAGCTCTGGTGGCATAGTGCCTAAGGCATGTGCAGTGTAGTAAATTACTTTGTGTGGCTTTTCTACCCGTAAGTCTTTGTAAACTCCAATGTGGGATTTGCTATGAGCAACTGAGGAGCTCCTGATTGCTGAAGGTGTCCACCTGGAGTATTTCTGTTGGGAGTGGCACAAAACAATGTTCTGGGAGGTGCCCACTCTCTCTCAGGTGCTTAGAGTTCTGATGCTATAATTGGCTAGTCTGACCACCCTGCCGGTTTCAAAAGGGAGGCCTCCTAGAGGCAGAACTCTGACTGCTGGTTGAGGAAGATGTGCTACCAAAAGAGACACGCCCTACTGGAAGAGACACATGCTGCTGGGAAAGAGATGCAAGAGACACACATTGCTGAGCGAGACACCGAGGGACAAGGACTGCTGGGGAAGAGACTGTGAGGGACTCTTGGCTGAGGGATGGTGGGCTGGGAGAGACTGAGCATTCTTCCTAAACTTGAGTTGTAGCCTGATGCTTCCCTAATAAACCCCGTAATCCATGAGTTCTGTGTGGCCACTGCAGCAAATTATCGAACCCAGAAGAGAGGTGGTGGGTGCTTTGGGAGGAACGGTTGGAGAAAGGGCTGGAGGGAGGCAGCATGTCTGGCCTTGTAGCAACAGGCCTTGGGTTACTGCTGGTAATCCTGTCTTCCTCTTGTAGGATTAGAGTAGGTCAGAACATGTGGCATCCTTGCCATTTTTGTAGCATGTGACTGCTAACCAGAAGCCTGGTTCAAACCCACCAGCCACTCCTCAGAAGTAAGGCTCGGCAATCTACTCCCATAGTGATAGTGCCTTGGAAACCCAAGAAGAGGTCACTATGAGTCAGATCCGAGTTGACGGAAGTGGGTTTGGTTTTGGTTTGGTTATTCTACTAATATAAGTAACAAAGAAAATCTCTGTGAATTACACATTCAGTGTCTTAATGAAAAGTGCACACCATACCACTTTGTACATACTAGTGAAAATTAGACTTCTGGTTAACAGTCAAGAAGGCTGGCGGTTCAAACCCACCAGCCACTCCTCGGAAGGAAGAAGGTTGGGCAATCTACTTCCGTAATGATACTGCCTGGGAAACCCAAGGAGGGATCGCTAAGAGTCGGGTCCGACTCCACAGCACATAACAACAACAACATGCACAACAAATGTATCAGGTAGGTATATTTAAATAATTGCCTGATTGTAAATGAACATTAGTAGTATTATTATAGTTGGCCTAGAGACAGCATCCACATGGCACACTCTGTTTCGGGAGCTTTTTGTATCAATACACATGGGTAAAAAAGAAGTCACTTAATAAATAATGGAAAGACAAAATTGTGTAAAAGTCTTGAACTCCTCAAATTGTTAAGCACTTTATATAAAGTTTTTTTTTTTTTTTTTAACTTTGAGCTCATCATACTCCATTTTAAATATTAATTCTGCCAAAGATCAAGCTCATTCCTTCAAAATTTAACAGCTTCAGTATAAAATTCAGGTAAATGAGAAATAGGACAGAAAAATGAAAAAAAAAAAAAAAAAAGGGAGGGGAAGAAGCAATGGCAATGATGGCATAGGAGCGTCAACTTAACTCAAAACCGAGCCACTTCAGGTTTTCCTATTTAACTTTCCCATGAAAAAAGAAAATACAACTTACTGATGGAATTTTCACAAATACAAATAAGGGAACCCATCTGTATTATTTAAAGATACGTACTATAAACATAATTTGGAGGTTAGCTCTAAATTGCCTCTAAGTGATTAAGAATTACTACTTTATGACACCTTGCTATAGAGTACAACTATAAGGACAAAAGGACCAAACCAACTGTGCTGATGGCTCCATTGCTGGGCTCCCCAGTTGAAACTCAGCTAGTATTTCACTCATTCGAAAAGCACCAACGTGCTACTGTAGACCTTATCTCTGCCGATAACGACGTCTTCATCCCTGATCCTTGACTTCCTCATGCAAAATGCAGCACGCAGCTCCGCAGCCAAGCTAGCCTGAGTGGGGTCCGCCGCGAAGCACAGGCGCTGCATGTGCATCACCGGACCCAAGTGGGCCAGACTGCCGGAGGACCAGGGACGGCGGGGGGGTGGGGGGCAGTGGGCGGAAAGTCCAGCCCTTACCAGAGGGTCTGCGCTGCACGCGAGCAGCTCCTGTCCGCTGGGGCCGGTAGAGCCTCCGAACGTTTCACTACACCGAGGCTCCCCCTCCATTACATCTCTCTCGACGTGTAATGAAAGGCGCATTACAGCGGGAGCAGAGACAGGGCAGAGTTGGCCAAGGGAGGCGCGCACTCACCTTCTTCTTCTAACTCCAATTTCTCCAGCATGCCGACTCCAGCGGTCCCCGGAGCTGCTGCCGCTGCCGCTGCCGCCGCCGCTACAGTAGCCGCCTGAGGAAAAGGAGGGGAGAAGGATCAGCATTCGGAGCCGCCCAGCACGCCCCGGACCTGCAGCGGGCGGGGGGGAACGCTCCGCCGGCTCGGCCCGCCGGCTCGGCCTGGCTCGCACCGGGCTCCGCGGGGGCGGTGTTCACCCGCACCCGCCCGCCCGCACCCCAGGAGGAGGGACCAGCGGATGGCCCACCCCGGGCCGGGGGCGGGGCTCCGCGTAGTCGCCGGTTCCCCCACCCCCAGGAGCGCTGGGCAGCCGCAGGTTCCCCCTCCAGCGTCCGTTCACTGGCGGTTCCCCAGCCTCTCCCCACTCGTAGTGGAACGTTCCGCTTCCCAGAGGGCGTCGAGTCCCCCCGGAGGAATGAACTGTGGAGGAGACTCCAGAGGGGAGGCGGGGTCGGAGAGTTGAGGTGGGCCCTGGGGTCGCTCTGGGCTGCCCATCCTCCAGGGCCGACCCGCGCAGGCGCAAGGCTGGCTCCAGGCGCCCATCATCCGGCTGCGGCCTTCCGCCTTCCCGTAGGGGAAGCGACGCCATTAGCAGAGGCCCATGTTCTTATTCCTCGCCTCGTGTTACCACCCTGCAGCACTCACATTCACTCACCCGCCCCTGCCACCCACGGTTGGTACTTTCTCGTTGGTTTCACCTGCTAAGGTGTGGTCTAGGCCCAACCTGAGGGTGGGGCAGGAGCGGGGGCGGGAATGGGCGGGGCGATGGGGCAAGGCCTGGAGCTGGAGGCCTCAGGACCCAAAAGAGAGATGGGTGGGCCAGCGAGAGTGGTAGGTAATGTGTGTGCGTGGGTTTTTTTTATTTTTTTATTTTTTTTAGGTTTTAGATTAAACTGCCTATCCCTAACTCCTGTTAAAAAAAAATGTTCTGTGTATTGTAGATGCACTTTGTTGCTTTCAGTTTTTTGCAGCAGTGGAACTAGTCATTTGCTGCCTCACTTAACAGCTCTTTTCGTCTTAGGTTAAGCCGTTGGCAAAAATTCACAGGAAACTAAATCTGGCCCTGGCCACTTCTGTCATCCTGAATATCTGAGACTCCTGTCACCAGCTATGATGCTGGCAGCCGCAGGGGGCAGGTTTCCCCATTCCCTGAGGCCTCACCTCTGTGACAAGCAATTTTTGCCCCTTCCACAGTGGGCGGCTACTTAATTTTATAGCAATTACATTAAACCTAAAGATCCAGGGACCTTGTTAATTAGATTAGATTTCTAGTGCTAATTAGGGCCCAATCACTTGAAAAGACCTTTGGTCCTATCACTCTTGCAAGCCCAGCTGGAGAACAAAGTACTGAAATCCCCTTTGCTTTTTGTTTTTGCCCTGTCATCTCAGTTGGGCCCATCCCTAAGTGTCAATGAAGCTTCCCCTTGGAAAATACAAACAAAAAGAGCACTGAAGGTCAAGACAAAACTACTTTTGTAGAATGTCTGATGATTAAAAAAAAAAACCATACAGTTAACATCATGTTTAACAGTGAAGGACTGAATACTTTTTTTATGCTTTGATTTTAAATGTGGGAACAAGGCAAGGATGTCTGCTCTCATTATTCTTACTCAATTTAGTACTGGAAGTTCTACCCACTGTAATAAGGCAAGAAAAAGAAGTAATAGGCATACACACTGCAAAGGAAGAGATTAAATTGTCCCCATTTGCAGATGAAGCACAGGGGTTAAAGCATCCAGCTGCTAACCAAAAGCTGGGCAGTTCAAACTCACCAGCTGCTCCACTGGATAAAGATGAGGCTTCATCAGTCTACTTCAATAAAGACTTAAAGCCTTGGAAACCCTAGGGCAGGCAGTTCTACTCTGTCCTATAGGGTTGCTATGAATTGGAATCAGTTTGATGCAGTGGGTTGGGTTTGGTTTTTGGTTTATTTGCAGATGACGTGATTGTCTACATAGAAAAATCCTAGTTATATGCAAAAAAAACCCAACCTCCTGGGACTAATAAGTGAGTTCAGTAAGGTCATAGGGTTATAAGATCAATAAACCAATCACATTTCTATACAACAGTGAATTGTGGAAACTGATATCAAAAACAATACTATTTACAGAGAAAATGAAGTACTTAGGTATACAGTTATGAAAATATGTACCAGACCCATATGCTGAAAGTTACAGAATGCTGATGAAAGAAATCAAAAACTTAAATAAATGGAGAGGAATCCCATGTTCATGGATTGGAAGACCCAACATAGTAAAGTGTCAGTTCACCCAAATTGATCTTTAGATTTAATGTAATTCCTATAAAAATCCCAGCAGGGTTTTGTTTTGTAGACACAGGCAAGATTATTCTAATATTTATATGCATAGGCACAGGCTGTAGAATAGCTAGAATGTCTTGGAAAAGAGTAATGAAGTGAGAAATCACACAATATTAAGGCTTACTGTATAGCTACACTAATCAAGATAGTGTGGTATTGGTGGAGGGATAAACAATAATAGAAAGCCCAGAAAAAGACCACACAAATATGCCCAACTGATTTTTGAAAAAAGTGAAAAAGCAATGGTACTGGTACAAATGGACATCCATAAATTAAAAAAAAAAAAACAAAAAAAAAAAAACCACCTACACCTCACACCTTACACAAAAATTAAATTGGATCACAGACTTAAATACAAAGTATAAACCTTTTTTTGGGGGGTGGGGAGAATGAGAAAATCTTCAGTACCTAAGGCTAGGCAGGGTTTGTAGACATGACACCAAAAGCATAATCTATAAGAGGAAAAATAAGTTATTTGGATTTCACCAAAATTAAAAATTTTTGTCTAAAGAAGACCTTACTTAGAAGATGAAAAGACAAGCTACAGAGTGGGAGAAAATAGTTGCAAACCACATAGCTGATAAACAGTTAGTATCTGAAAATAAAAATAACTCTCAAAACTCAACACAAGGAAAAAAAATAATACTATAAAGCTAGAAGGAGCTCTAGGTGGTACAAATAGTTAAGCGCCCAACTACTAACTGAGTTGGTTGGTGGTTTGGACCCATCCAGTGGTGCGTTTCTTCAGTTCTTTCAAGAACTGAAGAAAAAATTTAAGCCTCGAGTTGCAATATTGAGAGATTCTATGGGCAAAATACTGAATGATGCAGGAAACATCAAGAGAAGATGGCAGGAATACACTGAGTCACTGTACCAAAAAGAACTGATCGATCTTCATTCATTTCAGGAAGTGGCATATGATCTAGAACCAATGGTAATGAAGGAAGAAGTCAAAGCTGCAATGAAAGAACTGGCGAAGAACAAGGCTCCGGGAATTGATGGCATACCGATTGAGATATTTCAACAAACAGATGCCCCATTGGAAGCACTCACTCAGTTATGCCAAGAGATTTGGAAGACAGCTACCTGGCCAACTGACTGGAAGAGATCCATATTTGTGCCCATTCCAAAGAAAGGTGATCCCACAGAATGTGGAAATTATAGAACAATATCATTAATATCGCACGCAAGTAAGATCTTACTGAAGATAATTCAGAAGGTTCAAGCTGGATTCAGAAGAGGACGTGGAACAAGGGATATCATAGCTGTTGTCAGATGGATCTTGGCTCAAGGCAGAGAATACCAGAAAGATGTTTACTTGTGTTTTATTGACTATGAAAAGTCATTTGATTATGTGGATCATGACAAATTATGGATAACATTGAGAAGAATGGGAATTCCTGAGCACTTGATTGTACTCATGAGGAATCTGTACCTTGACCAGGAGGCTGTTGTTCGAACAGAACAAGGGGACACTACATGGTTTAAAATCAAGAAGGGAATGCGTCAGGATTGTATTCTTTCTCCACACTTATTCAATCTATATGCTGAGCAAATAATCCGAGAAGCTGGACTATATGAAGAAAAACGTGGTATCAGGATTGGAGGAAGAATCATTAACAACCTGAGATATGCAGACGATACAACTTTGCTTGCTGAAAGTGAGGATGAATTAAGGCACCTACTGATGAAGGTTGAAGAATACAGTCTGCAGTATGGATTACGTCTCAATATAAAGAAAACAAAAATCCTCACAACTGGACCAATGAGCAGCATCACAATAAATGGAGAGAAGATTGAGGTTGTCAAAGAATTCACATTGCTTGTTTCTACGATCGATGCCAATGGAAGCAGCAGTCAGGACATTAGACGTCGTGTAGCATTGGGAAAATCAACTGCGAAGGAACTGTTTCAAGTGCTGAGGAGCAAGGATATCTCCTTGAGGACTAAGGTGCGCCTGACAGAAGCCATGATATTTCCAATCGCCTCTTATGCATGTGAGAGCTGGACAATGAATAAGGAAGACCGAAGAAGAGTTGATGCTTTTGAGTTTTGGTGCTGGCGAAGAATGCTGAAAGTACCATGGACTGCTAAAAGAACTAACAGATCTGTCCTGGAGGAAGTGCAGCCAGAATGCTCCTTGGAAGCAAGAATGGCCAGACTTCGTCTCACCTATTTTGGTCATGTTGTCAGAAGGGACCATTCCCTGGAGAAGGATGTCATGCTTGGTAGGGTGGAGGGTCGACGAAAGAGGGGGAGGCCTTCAACGAGATGGATTGACATGGTGGCTGCAATGATGGGCTCAAGTATAGCAGGGATTGTGGGGCTGGCGCGGGATCGGGCAGTGTTTCATTCTGCCGTGCATGGGGTCGCTATGAGTCGGAAACGATGGCATTTAACAACAACAACAGTGGTGCCTTGGAAGAAAAGCCTGGTGATGTGCTTCCCAAAAGTCACAGCCTTGAAAGCTGTGAAGCACAATTCTACTCTGCAACACATGGGGTTGCCATGAGTCAGAATTAATGGGAATTGGTTTGGATTTTTATCCAGGTACAACATAGGGAAAAGATGCAAATAAGAACATAAAAAGATGGTCAACATCACTAGCCATTGTCATCGTTAGGTGTGGTTGGGTTAAATCCAGCTTATAGCAACCGTGTGTACAAAAGAAAGAAACATTGCCTGGTTCTGCATCATCTTCACAGTCGTTGCTACGATTGA